TTGTGCAGATTGGTCTTTCTGCATTCCCTTCTCTCTGCATATGGCTGACTCACATAATTCCTACCATTCTCACTGTCACTCATTCTTGGGCTGTTTCTTCCTTCACGAGTTAATAATGGACTCAGGACCCCTTGACTGCCTGTAACTATGAACTTTGTTCCTTTATTCTTGTTGCGGGTTGCACTGGAGGTGGTAGATCGGAATTAATTTGCCAGGATTCCGGTAACGTTTCAATGGGAAGACAAACATATACTTCCCGGACTGTGAGGAGGACGGGAAAAGGGATTATAATATTTGGATTACAATATAAGTACACGTTAGAACCACAGTACACAGCAGAGTCTGTCTGAGTTGAACCTGCGTCAAGAGTTTCATGTTTTGCCCTAAAACACCTCCATCTTCCTTCCCCTGTCTCTGGGCCAGGACCTCTTGAGGCCAAAGAAAACAGGACAACTGTCAGGCCTTAGCCCTCTCTGGGCCTGGAGTTTGTCTGCTTCATTCTTTTGACCATACATGGGGGAGGGAGCTGTCCTCCTCCCATGGTGGGCTTGGACTCACCAGGTCAATTTCCTCTGCTCTTTAGCGTCCTGAAGCCCAGTGAGCACTCAGGAGCTCTGGGGGTTTCCCTCTGGGGACCAAGCCAAGGCCTTCCCTCTTTCCTTTGTTCTGGAAACTCCCCTGAACCTGAACCAGGGATTGCTGCTCTCCCTCCTCTTCTCTCCCTCCCTTTTCCTTTCTCCTCCTCCTCCCTCCCCCCTCCAAACCCTAGCTTTACCACTCTCTAACTATGTGTATTTGGACAACTCATTTGATCACTTCGAGCCTCAATTTTCCTCGCCAAAATATCTGCAGTGACTTCCGATGATGCTTGCACCCTAAAATCAAAGTTATCACAAATACCCCAGATAGTAGAGAAAACGTGGGTGACTAAATGTTTAGAAATCCCCCCAAGGGTTTGCCCTAAATGAAAGGCACAGTTTTACTGTTTTGAAAACCAGTTTTTTAAAAGTGAAAAACTGCTTATTTCTACTCTTCTAGAACCTTCCTATGCACTTCCTATGCTAAGATTATTGAAATAAGCTACCCCCACCTTTAGGAGCTCCCAAACCTCGTGTTATAATTTATGTGTATTTCCTGGCGCCTTGTTTGCTAACGAATCTTCATGCTCTTTTGCTATTTTTTGCCTGTTTCGGGTTGCATTCGGTAGTCACTCGTTCTGTTTGTCCTCCAGTAGATGCTAACCCTGAGTCCCTCTGTCTGTTAGAAAAATGACGCCCCCCCATGCTGTGGGGTTGCTGGCTCTCTCTGAGGGAGCTGTCCCAGTTCTCTGGGCCCCGCCTCACCCCAGGTCATCTCCAGGCACACAGAGAACAGAGGGAGGGGGGCGTGCCTTGGCTGCTCTGGGGCTTCTTCCTGCACCCCGAGTGGTTTTCCAGGTTTACAGATTTTGTGGCTGTTCTCTGCACACTGGGGAAGCTGATTATCACAGACACCATCAGGCGGGCTCCTGAGGCCTCTGAGCCCCTAGGATCCTCCCGGAGTCCCTTGAAGGATGGTGCTGGCAGCCCATTCTGTGGCTTGGGAAGCCGAGATGCTGGGCTGCCCGAGGAAGTGCCCAGAGCACACTGCAGCCCACACTGGGCCTGCCAGTCTATGGATGATGGTGCCCATTCCCAGGATCCAGGGAGACCCACAGCGTCCTCCTCATTATTCCCGTAACCACTAGTGGTCATTTGGAGTGGTCCTGGCAAGTTACAGACGGCTGTCCCTCTGCAATACAATGTCACCACTGTGTGCAGATTTACCAAAAATCTCACTTCTTTGGTTCTAAATGCCTCTGAAAACAAAGCTCGAATCTGCACTCTCTGCCCCTGCTCACCCTTCTGGCCTCCTCCTTAACATCTCGCTCACTCTGTCCCCGTGCTCTGAACGCTGAGACTCATTTAGCTCCTCATGTAGTCCACACTCCCTCCCTCACAGGGCCTTTGAACAAGCTGTCCTCTCTGTACTGTTCTTCCTCTTCTACTTTACCTGGGTGGCTTCCTTTGGATTCCTGCAAGCTGTCTTTTGACTCCAGTTGAAAATTGGAACTCCATCTGTCCCTTTAGATACTCAGGGGTGTCTTGGATGCTATCGCTGTGAACATGCATTCATATTTCATCCATTCCATCGTCCCTGTGCCTAATTTTCTAGCCCCGAGGCTGATGCATGGTAGAGACACAAGGAACAAACAAACAAACACAGACCAATGCATTCGAGTCTGGAAGCATGAATGGCCACCTGGCTCTGAGCACTGGAAGCACCGACTAAAGTTCAGTGGGCAAAGGCCCTGCTCAGGGAATCACATGACTGCCCAGGAAGGAGGGAGGCAAGGCTCACCTTGCTATGGACCCCACATCACAGGTCTCTGGCTGGGTGGCTCCGAGTCTGCATGGAGGTGACAGAGTGTGAGATGGGCAGAAAGGTGTCACTGACGTCAGGTGTGAGGCGACAGCGCCAAAGTTACACAGCAGCTCCCCAGCAGCCACGCGGGTTCCTCCCCTGGGAAATGCCCCCTTGGAGCGCTGTATGCTTCCCCACGGGGCTGAGTTCCAGGTTTCTCCTTCTGTGGGCTGCTCTGTGATCCAGTAAAAAGCCTGTGTATCTTTCCAATCACGTCATCCAGCCCCTTGTTCACAGCGTCTCCCTCATGTAAAGCCATTTCAAACTCACAGGAGCCCTGACTCATGGAGGTTAGGGACTCTCCAGGGCCGTGCAACAATCCTTCCTGGGCTCAGGGTTAACTCCAAACAGCCCTGTTTGTAGAGTGTAGAGCTCTTTCACTGCCCGCAACCCACTGTGGAAGTAGCCAAGAGAGAAAATTTTGTCAGCTCTGCCTCTCAGGGTGACATTGGTCAACTGGGATTTTTCTTCTACACAGTGGAGGCAATGTGTCCTGCCTCTAGGATGAGAGCCAAGCGAGGTGGCAGTCACAGCCCTGTGGACACTGGGCTTGTGACAAATGCTGGCCCTTCCCTTTTCCCTCCTGCCAGCCTCTGTTCTCAGGATACTCAGGCGGAGGTGATTTCTCTTCCTTTCATAAAAGTCTCACCTTGGAGTTTTTTCGCCAACAACCTGGGCAGGGTACAGAGAGCACTTGCCTAAAAACTTCTCCAACAAGTAGATTGATGTTGAGCCCAGACAGACCTGGAAAGTCCTAGAGGGAGAGCAGCTTGGGCTCTGACCCAGCAAAGATTTCCCCTGAATTCTACAGAGTTTCAACATAGCGCGGGTTCTGATAGTACAAAGCCCAAGGTTCCAGAAACAGTCACCATTGGAGTAAGCCAGGCTGAGGCTGAGTTTAGCCAAGTGGCTCTGGCCATGCAGCCTGCCGCCCTTCAGAACTGTCCTGCGTGACCTCAGGGACCACCACCCTGGCAGTGTCCTCCAGAAGGATGCTGCATCTAAAGACACAGTGTTCAGACATCGTCTTTGGATTCGCAGCATTGCCGTGTTCTGCAAAGGAGGAACATCTGCCAGAGTCACCTGTCCAGGTGACCCTGAGCTTGATGGGACCCTCCAGTTCTCGAAAGAGTGACAAGGAGGGCTCCTGCATCCTGTTGGCAGCATGCGGGTGCAGTACCTCAGCAAGGGCCCAGCCTGTCCCCTCTGTCAGGGTGGAGAGGGGGACATGGATGTCAGGGTTGTACCAGTCCATGGCCTAGACTACCTGCCAAGGACTGCACAGCAAAACCAAAAAATAGAGCTTGGGTACCAATGTCATGTGTCTCTATCTCAGAAGGCCACCCTTCTTGTATTTCTGAGCCTCAGTTTCCTACTTTATGTAGAATGAAGCTAAGCCATGGCAAGGGAGCATTGTGGGAGCTTCAGTGTGACAAACCCTCTCCCATGGCCTCTCTCACACCCTTGATTCTGACCCTCCCTCTCTGAGTTCTCAGGGTCCCAAAGGCTTCCTCAACCCCTCACTGCCCAGCGGGATCTGGGCTTGGGTGTCCTTTTCTCCTCAGGGCCCCTGTGTCTTGCTGGTGGGTAGTACTGGTTAGGTGTGCCCTGTCCAGGGGTGCCTGTGACCTGTGGTGGCTCTGCACCCAGGATATGCATCTGCTGATGTCGTGGCCCTGGTCAGCCTGGCCAGCGGAACAGGATGTGTTTGGGGATGGGAGGATGCAGGGGTAGGAGCCACGTTGCCATGGCAGCAGGTGAGGAAGCTGGGGGAGCTGTGCTGGGCAAGGCTGGTCCTGGAGGCAAGAGTCTGAGGGCATGTGGTTCTCGTTCTGCATTGCCTGGTCAGAGACCTTACCTAACTGGTTGAGCTCCTCAGAGTCTCAGCTTTTCTGGGAAGAAGGAGTCAGTTCCTATAAAGTGATTCAAAAAGTGACTACTCATTTAGCCATTCATCTTTAAAAACAAATACATCCAGTAGGTCTGGGTCTCCAGGAGATGAAAAGCTTCAAAGTTAGTGAAAGTTCAAGGCAGGCATAATGGCGCACGCCTGTAGCCCCAGCATTCGAGGACGAGGCAGGAAGATCTCAGCAAGCTCCAGGCCAGGCTAGGGAGACATGGTCTCAAAAAATAAAGTGATAGTCACTGAGTGTCCACACCCTGGACATGTCCCAGTAGCCCGAGAGAAGGGATTGGGCTGTTACTGTCCATGCTGTGTGCATGAGGAAGCCGAGTCTGGGAAGGCTGGTGCGAGAGAGCACGGGCGCTGGCTTCTGTGTCCCTGCCACCCCAGCGCCTCTGCCGTCCCCAGGCTGAGCAGGCACTGCGGGGCCACTCGGCTGGCTCCCCAGCCTCCCTCCAGCATTTTTGCAGCTTTCTTACCCAGCTGCAGCCACTTCCTCTCTAGGTTTTGCCTCGACCTCATCCTCTTGTTTCGAAACCATTTGAGCCAGGAGGGGGATGCACAGCCAAGGCAGGAAGTACGCACAGCCCCAGAGCCCCTCAGGGAGGCTGGGGACCCACGCCGGACTTGCCTGTTGGCTTGTGGCCTGCTTCCTGCTTCCTCAGCTGTGCTGAGCTGTCCCCTCTCTGTGGTTGAGCCTGTGGCCTGCTCTGGCTACTTCCCCCTCCAGCTCAGGTCCAGCCCTGCTCTTGACCCCACAGGTTCCCACGCACAGCTGTCAAGGCACCTCACAACCTGATACCACCAGGGTCCCCTCCCCTCACCTGATGTCCAGCCTCTCTGGGCCCACGCACTATCTCCCCTGCTCCTGGAAGGCCTTGGAGACCAAGGTCCCTGCACAGCAGGGCTTGGTCTTTCCCAACATGTTTTGTGGAATGACCCAGCCACCACCACCACCATCAATGCCCAACTTCAAGTGGGAGGGGACCTTCGTGTACACCCGGTGCCTACGAGAAGAGGTCCAGCTTGCTTATGCCCTTTTGGATAAGAGGGCCCTGGCCATCCTGGACAGAGGCCTCAGCACCTGCAGGTGGGTCAGCCGGCTGAGGGCTGGTGTCAGAGGCAGGACGAAGGCCTGATCAGACAGCCACTCTCTGGTCTGCAGGAGGCCTGCTTGGAACACCTGCCTGCCCTCTGAAATGATTGGTCCTGGTGGGAGTGCGTGGGGTGGCATCTGTCACCCATCTAGCTCTCTAAGTCCGGTTCATGGGGAAAATGAGACAATTGGGTGAGGTTCTTCTTAACACTCTATCTTATTTCATTTTAGGGCTACATTTTTAATGTTTTCAGGCATTGTGTCTACGCTCGCCGTGGGGAGCCGATGCTGTGTGTAATTCAGCTTTATTCCTGGCCTGTCCTCCTCCCGTCCTCTTCCTTCCCATCTCGCAGTCTTGTCCCACCTGAGAAAGATTTTCCTCCCTACCTTTATTACCCATGTTTATTTTGTTCCTGATTTGTACTCTGGGTTTCTCAAATCAGAGAAAACATGTGATATTCACACTTGTGTTTCTGATTTGTTTCACTAAACATTAAACATTCAATGAGCCGATAATCAACCCTTTAAAGAATAGTTTTATGCTTTTTTCTGGTGACAAAGTAAGGTATTGTCATTGTTAAAAAAAATCTAAAGCCTGAAAAAAAGAAATAATCAAAGTTTGTACCTTAGAAAAAGCCAATATGAATACATCAATGTTAATCTATCTTTCTTTCTTTTTATAGTATGTATCTGTGTGCTTTTGTGTGTCACATTTATATTTGTTGTAAAGCTTTTAATTTTCAGCAAAATATAGAAATACACAGTTAAATACTATTCAAAAGATTATCTTAATGGAATTCTATTATTTTGGCATGCAACTATTTTCCTCTTTTCGGATATTGAAACTATTGTAAGCTCTATATAATAAGCAATATTATAATGAATATTTTTGGGCAGGGGATTTAGCTCAGTGGCATGAGCGCCTGCCTTGCAAGTGGGCAGTCGTGAGTTCGATCCTTGATACCAAAAAGAAAAAGAGAGAGAGAGAGAGAGAGAGAGAGAGAGAGAGAGAGAGAATATTTTCTTGATGAATATACATATAAGCTTAAATCTTCTATTCAGCCAGTCTCTCTTAAAAATGAAATTATTAAAGAATCAGAACTTTTTGCTTTTGACATATAGTACGCAAAACACTTTAAAAATATGTACTTACTGATGGTTCTGTTACGAATCACCCAGGTGAAATTTAACTTCTGCTGTAATGTCACTGTCAGTCTTGGTTTTTAAAAATCCTTTTATCCATGTGACAAATGGAGTTCTGTCATCACTTTCACTTGCATTTATTTTGTTTCTTATGAGGCCAATATTTTCCCTACACAGAGGGCCCTTTGGATTTCTCTAGCAAGACTTCCTTTCAAAAACTATCTATAAAGCGTCTACACTTTCTCAAATCATACATATAGGGATCTTAATTGGTTTTTTTTGGTACCAGGGATCAAACTCACAACTGCATGCTTGCCAGGAAGATGCTTATGCCACTGAGCTAAATCCCTGGGCCCTTAAGTCTGTTTCATGTGTCCATTTTCTTAGCTAAAAAATTAACTCTTTTCTTAAGTATTATGTGAATAATAATTTTAATTACTTGTGATTTCTTGTCCACTTTTTATTCCAAAAATTCTTCAGTTCCTTTCCTGCTTTGACCTTTTAGATGAATTTTAAAATCAGGTTGTTGAATCCCCCAGGACTATCATTGATCTTTTTTTTAGAAATTACACTAGCTTTCCCTGTGAATGTGAGGTGTGTTTATATTACACCCAGCAGCCTTCGCACGCAGGTTTGCAATGCTTTGCCACTTAGGAAATTCTTCCTTTTTGCCCTCAGGGAAAGTCGTTGAGCCTTTTTCTGATAAACGTTGCCTCTTTCCTCTTCAGTGTGTCCCAGGTACTGTGTTTTAATGTACTTTTACCAACGCCTGGGAAATCTCTTAAAATATTCTTTCTCAATGGTCATGTCAGATTTTGTATTTTAATGTTTCTCCTGGCCCCAGCTTATTGCTCTGACTCATTGATTTAGCTTCCATTGTAGGGTGCCAGTCCCAGTAAACACGTCTTCTTTCTTAGGGCTGCCTGGGAGTGGTGTTTCCTGCTCTCCTTCTGTCCCTGAGCCCCCGTCCACCCACCACGCTCAGGTAGTGACTCAGTCACTCTTGTGCCCATCTAGTGCCTTTTGTTGGCCTCCTAGGCAGTTGGGGGCAGCAACTACCACCCCCTTTTTCCTGTCTGGTGTGACAGTGTGGGGCTGGGTGTGTGCACTGATAACTCTTTGTGGCAGCCTCTCCAGGCTCCCCTGCAGGCTTCCCGGACTTGGCAGCTCCGATTCCATTTTAATTAGCTTCTCAGGAGACGTTTGCACATTCTGGGAGATAAGCTTATGTGAGGAGGAAAATCCCAGCTTGGCCTGGCTCTGGGTCCCCAGCACATCTCCCTGGAGCAGCATTCTGAGAAGGGAGACTTAAAAGACACCCTGAAGACACGGGACAGGGCTAAGCTCACACTCACCATGAGCTGGAATCTTGGGCTGTTGCTGGACCCCAGCGAAAAGCTGAACCCCATATCGGAGACCAGAAAGAAGACAAAGAAACAAAGCAAAGGTAGTACCAGTTGCCTTTCAAATTTTTACATTTTATTTAACATTGACTTTGAAAAAAAATTTGTTTTAGAGAGAATAAAACTAAGCAAAATAAAACACAATAGAGCCAATCAAAACAAGACAGTGTAAGTGACACAGGATTTCAGACAGGATAATAGAAAATCAACAATAGTTACCATAATGCTTCCTGTTGTCTTCAAAATAGCTGCCCACACCTTCAGACATAGCAAAATCAAACAAAACAGAATAGAATAGAACCAATAAAAACAAATCATTGAACACCATACAGGACTTCAAAACGACGTAATAGTAAGTGCAAAAATGGCTGCCATAATACATCTTCTTATCTTTGAAATAGCTGCCCATGCCATCAGACACAACAAAATCAAACAAGACAAAACAGAATGAAACACACCCAAACAAAACAATCAGAACAAGATAATAGGGAATTAACGATGACTACCACTCTCAGAAGGAGATCTCCTATAGATGCTATACTACATACAGACAGCCTCTGAACAGATGATCACACCACCAGCTTTAGGCCTGCAAAGTCAGAGCAATACTAAGCACTACAAGCATTAGGTTCTATTTTACCTCATAAGCCATCATCACAGCCTGTGTTTCTCCAGATCAGCTGGTCACTTACTGGTCCCGGGGGAGGGGAGACAAAGCTCTTCTTGTCTTCCTGCCTGCAGACTGGAAGGAGCTGGCCACTGGCTCTTGCCCAGTCAGTCTGCAGGTCCTGACTCACAGAAGGTCTTAGCTTCTTCACAACTGCCTTTTCCCATTAATTTTGGTTTTGAAAGTGTTACACTACACAACTCTCTTCATTACCAAATTTGAGAGCATCCCTTTATATCTGGCACCTAATACTGAGAGCCTCACCCTTCTTATTGTGGTCTTGACTGTGTTGGATATTTTGTGACTTGAACTGTGGCCCCTAAAAGTCCTAACCAAGTGCTAACCCCTACTGTTTGTGGAGGTGATCTTAATTTTTGAGAAATGTAAACAGGCACTACACCACAGAGACATAAAAGCAGGCCCCCAAGAGAGTGATGTATCTGCGTCCTGCCATGGAGCAGGGTGCACCTAACAGCCAAACAGGAACGGAGCTACAGCTGCTCACAGATCCATGCCCTCCATATAATATAGTGCCAGGAGCATGCGGACGCAGTAAAACAGCTTGGCTAAAGAAAGACCTGCTGCCCAAGCAGCAGTGCTGTCTCACACCACCAGGCTGTAACCTCCCCACCAAAAGGCAGAAGGGGAAAGGGTGTGGGGGAGATGGAGGGGCCTGAGTGCTACCTGGCACTGGTTTTCTTCAAGGGCTTTGAAAGCACCCTCTTCCTATTGCTCTAGAGTGATTTTTAAAGCATTCTGTTTTCTCTTTTTTCCCCTTCATTTTAAAAAAATTAGTGTGTGCTGATAATTCATAATGGTGAGGTCCATTTTGGAAATTGATGCCTGTATTTTTGATATCTCAATCCCGTCCTGTCCCATGGTCACCCTGTCCTTTGCTACCGCTTCCCTCCGATGACCTCTCTGTTTCCAAAAGCCTACATCCTCCTTTCCTGTCAATGCTTATTTATTTACTTCGTTTCCCATGTATGAGAAGTTGCACCATGTTTAACCTTTTCTGTGTTCAGCTTATTTCATTTAGCATGATGCTCTTTTGTTCTATCAATTTCCTTGCAAATGGCATGATTTCATCTTTTTTTATGGCTGCGTAATAGTCACATGTGTGTGGTCACATTTTTTACACTCATCTTTGGCAGACACAAGGCTGTTCCCACAGCCAGTTACTATGAATTGTGCAGCTCCAAACTCAGCACATGGATCACTATAGTATGACTGATTTTAATTCTTTGGGGAACCTACCCATAATTAGACTAGCTGCTTCCAATGGTTTTCTATAGTTAATCTTTGAGGACTCTGCACACTGATTTCCATAGTGGTTATACTAGTTTACATTCCCACTGAGAGTGTAGGAGGGCTCCTTTCTTTCCTCATCCCGGCTGGTATTCACTGTGTTTCCTGTTCTATTTAGTAGTAGCAGAAGTAGTACATGTTTATGGTGATAGCCATTCATTCAGGGTGAAATAAAATCTCAGTCTACTTTTTTTTTTGGCACCAGGGATCAAACTCATGACTTTGCTTTCTTGCGTTTGCCAGGCGCTTATGCCACTGAGCTACATCCCTGGCAAAATTTCAGTCTACTTCTGACTTACATTTCTCTAATGGCTAAAGATGTTGAAAATTTTCTCATACACTTACTGCCCACTTGAAACTTCTTTGGAGAAGTGTGGACTCGGTTCATTTGCCCATTTTTTAATTAGGTTATTTGTTTGGGGTCATTAAGCTCTTTATATAGTCTAGATATTAATTCTCTATCAGAACATTAGCTAGCAAAGTTTTTCTTCCATTCAGTGGGCTGTCTTTCATTCCGTTAATTGCTTCTTTGCTGTGGAAGAGCCTTTTAACTTGATGCAGTTCCACTCGCTTGTTGATTCTTGGTGTTTATTCCTATGTAGCACTATTCAGGAAGTCTTACTTCGTCAAGTGTGCCCTACGTTATCTAGCAGCAGTGACTTCAGAGTTTCTGGTTTTGGGCCACCGATCCACTTGGACTTGATTTTAGCACAGGGTGACAGAAAGGGATCATGTTTCAGTCTTCTGCAGATCGGTATCCAGTTTTCTTGGCACCATTTGTTGGACGCTGTTTTTTATTTTATCCGGCATATGTTTTCAGTCCCCTTCATGATGACTTTATGTTAAGAGAGAGTCTTTGCAGATATGAATATAGGTTTTAAGATTAGTTCACCCTCAATAATTAATGGGCGCCTGAATCCAATAACAAGTACTCTTATAAGAGAACAGGAAAAGCCAGACACACAGGGGAAGAGGTGAGGCCATGTGGAGATAGATGCAGAGACAGGGGCGATGCAGCCACAATCCAAGGAATGCCTGCGAGAAGTTGGGAGGAGCTACGGAGCAGCCAAAGCATTTTCTTCTGCAGCCTTGTGAGAAGGATGGGGCTGCTAGCACCTTGATTTTCGACAGCTGGCTTCTGGAACTGTGGGGAATTATTATTTCTGTTATTGTAAGTCATCAGAGTTGGGGTCACTTGTTACTGAACCTCGAATCTCCTAACATAGTCTCAAAGGCAAGGTCAGAGGCCTGTAAGGCAGACTACAGAGCAATTTCAACCCTGAAATCCAAACAGGCAGCTCTAGGGGTTCCACGAGTGTTCAGTGGGTTCTCTCTCTCTCTCTCTCTCTCTCTCTCTCTCTCTCTCTGGGTGTGTGTGTGTATGTGTGACTGTGCTGTGAATTTCTGTTGGTTTATTGGATATTGATTGAACATTTTCCATTTGCCAGTCCCCCTGCTGGCAGTACATCACACACACACACACACACACACTCGTAAACACATACACTTTTCACATCACTGTGAAAGCACAAATGTGTGTGATTTAAATCAAACATTGAAAGATCAAACTAAATTGTGACTAAATTGCAGCTACAGAATCCTGACCAGATTTTCTCAGAGCTCTAGCATACCCTGATCTTTAACCAGACCTAGCAAAACCTATGCACTGTGATTTCTAGGACCTTCTGCTTACCGTTGTTAGCAAGATGTTTCCTCCACTGAATTATAATTGGAAGTTCTACTCTGCCTTTCTCCCTGTAAGGTAAGCTAGTAAGCTAAGTGAAGCTCAATAAAATCAATGACTGTCTCTTAAAATCTCTATTTTCCAAGCATATATATATATATATATATATATATATAGTTTCTTGTGAGACAGGGTCTTGCTATATAGGCTGGTCTTGAACTCAATACATAGCCCAGGCTGCCCTTGAACTTGTGGTATCCAGGGGTCTCCTTGGAGCCCTTTACCTGTGCAGTTCTCTCCTTTCTGAGAGGAAGGTTCTCCACCCTTCCACTCAGCCAGTCAAAGGTGGCTGCTGCTTGGTTTACCACGCTTTCTGTCATGGTTTGGAAACTCTCAATGAAACAAACAGGGACAATTATAAGGCTTGTCTCATGGGTTTCTTGTCACTCGGGAATCACTCTTCTTCATTGACTGAAGTTTAACGATTTGAAAACCATCAGATTCGATTCTTTTACTTGTTTCAGGTGAAATGGTAAATCGTATTCCTGTTACTTCACACTGACTGGAACTGGAGGCTGAGGCTGCTGTTCCACATTTCCTGGTGCCCTGGCCTTGTGGAAAGAATTTGATTCAGTCTACGTTTGGCAAAAGAAGAAATATGATGGTGATTGACCACATCCTTGCTCTTCAGGATGTTCCCCAGATACCAGCTGTGACATCCCCAAGGAGCTCGCCAAAACACAGACTCTCAGGCTTCACCCCAGACCTGCTATGACAGGTGGCTTAGGTGATCTGTAAGCACATTCAAGTTTGAGAAGTGCCACTCTGGCTAAATTTCAAGCTTTTCTTTCAATTCAAAGTCCTTTGGCTTGGGAGATTAGGGTGTGACAAAACAGATGGACAAAGGAGTATGACCTGTCAATTATGGAGACTCGGGACATGGGCAGAAGACCAGTTCCCACAAGCCCTTCACCTGGAACCAATCATAGAACTCACTGTGCTGACTCAAGCAGGTTTTTAATAGGATGACCTAGATGTGACGTCAGCCTGTAGCGCAGAGGATGCCAAAGATGGCTGCCCTGCAGTGCTGAGCCACTGTACTGGGCTTTCACAGTGGTCTGCCCTTGTCCTGTGCAGTGCATTCTCTTCCTACTGTAGTTAACCTGCACTCATTCTGCAGAGCACGTTCCTTTTCCTGCATTTAATAAATATAACATCTCGCTACCTTTTGCATTTGTCTCAACCAATTCTTGGTTAAGGACCAAGAGAACCTAGAAAACACCTCTAGAAAACACCTGCGGATTGGGCAAAGTGGTTTCCTAGAAGAATAAGGTACATTGTGGGAAAGTCATAGTATATTAAAGACTTCAGTGTCTGGGAATAGGTTTGTCATATAAACTCTAAAAGACCAACAAGGAAAATAAAAGTGCCATCAAAAACAAAACAAACTACTACTTATTCCTACAATTATTTTTGTAATTAATTTGGTTAATGTCTGTCTGAATAGTCTATGCATCTTTTTGTTTCTCATTTTTGTAATCTAAAGGTATAGACAGTGCTTGGGAAGTGTCATACAAATAATAAATCATTTCTGATGGATTATAGGACCACACAAAACTGAATAGTATGGTCAAGTGCTGAGGTTCTGTATGTTCCTGTATAGGTCTTTGGGGTGAAGAGTTTAGACACAGAGGTCTCAAAAGGAACAGAAAAATTTACTCAGGAAATGGCTGAAACCATCTAAGAGACATCGGTGTTCAAGAGAATTTGGTAAAGGAGGGACTCAGGAATTTCTTAATTCAGTAAGCCTTCCTTATAATTGGGGGAACTAACTAAAGGAACCACAGTTCCATGTAATCACAAAGAGGAAGAGTTTGGTGATGAAATAACAGACAGTTTTGGAAAAAGTGACCTGGCAAGCTCCAAGTTGACACAGCCGATAGCCTAGGGCAGGAGCTTTACAGATACAAGGAGGTCCTACAGGTCTTGGCTTGAGCTGGTGTGAGGCAATTCTGTGCTGCTTCTGATCTGTAAAGGTGAACTGGTAGGGAGGATTGCATGGCGCTGATGGCAGTGGTGATGCCAATGGAGCTGGTGGTGCCTATGCGGGATTTGTGGAATCTGTGATGGTCTGTGCAGTGACATCTATGAATGGAGATGGCAGAGCCTGTAAAGGGATGGACAGATGACCGGTATTCATTAATTAATTGTGTGTGTGTAAACACCAGAGAGTGAGACTGTAAAAAAGACCAGATTTAATTGTGTCCATACAAGCAGGCTGGAATCACTGTGATATCAGCAGGCAGCACTGAGGAAGGCCCAGGGATCGAGAGGTTTGGGAATAGGGTTGATAGTCTCAGGAAATCTGGATGGAATGCATGTGGTCAAAGTTCCAAGGACAGTCAGCAAAGGTGTGTGGACACTGGTGTGCATTCTGGCTTCCAGGGGATTGCAGGGCCAGACCTAAATTTCTTTATGGCCTCTGAATCTTGTTTGCTGAGAGCAACATGGATTCTGCTGTTTGTGGAGGGCAGCAGGAAGGTCTCTCAGGAAAGCCTGACTTGGCTTTCAGAAAAAAGTGAGAAACACTTATAAATGTAAGAATGGTCTCAGCAAAGCCCAGGTTATAAACAATGGATTAAAAAAGTGTGAAGAGGAGGAACAAATACCGCAAAGCGAATAGAAAAGATTGGGAGTAGATAGAAGACTCAAGTAGGACACTTGGTGGACATGAGTGTGTGCATAGTCAGAGGAAGCAAGCAAGCAAGAAAACAAATAGAAAAGCGAGGATAAGCTAGGTGAAAAATTGCACTGGTGAAAACCCAGGCAAACATTACTGCCCTCTCCCTGCCACACACTCGCATGTGCACACATGCACGCATACACACATATACATACACACACACAGAGGACAGAGGACTATTTCTACATGGGCCAATAGTGCAGAAATAATAAAATTCAGGGTGGTAACTGGTAACACTACTGGTTAATGTGTCCTAGGGAAATTCTTTTCCAGGCTCTGGGTATCCTGAACAAAGAATTGGACAAGACACGTGGAAAAGGAGTGGGGGAGGTATATTTATGGAAGGTGGGAAAGAAGCAGGCTCTGCAGGCTGAGAGCAGGCTCTGAGGAGCAGACTCGTGATGCGAGAAGGGAAAGGGATCTTTCATATCTGGAACTGGCTTCTCCCGCATGCATACAAGGCATCGGGACTGCTGTCCTGTCAACTGGACATTCGGCCTAGCACCAGACTGAAAGTGTCCTGTCAGAGATTCCTGCCACATGTAAATGGGGAATTGAAATAGCACTGTTTCTGATTGGCTCTCCCTGCCGTCCTGGGTCCTGTATTCTGCACATGAGCCCTGTGCCTCCTTGGCTCTGAGAGACATGCCCTGTGGGATGGATTTTGCTCCATACCTAATCTCATACCTCGGTAACTCTTACTTCTTAATCTTCTCTCTGCCAGAGAGAAGAGTGAAGTTCAGGCTGAAGAGGGCAGAAAACCTAGTCTTCGTGGTATAAAGAGGAGAAAGCTACTCAAAGCTCTAAAATCCGGGCTGCATATCCTGTTTGAGACTCTCCCTTTGCATTTTCCCTAAGAATAAAAAGTCTTCATCTGAAGATTCATCATATGGTAAGTAAAATTATTCCATTTGGGACAAGAAGATTAGTCCAAAAATCTAGTTTGTTTTTCTTCTGAGTCCAATCAAAACTTCTCATAAACTCTATTGGTCTGGGTCTTAGTGTTATTTAGAGGAAATTAATTTTATTCTTGTACACAAGCGCCTTACATATTCAAAGGTTGCTGCAGAGTAGATTTGTCACACACACACATTCCACATTCTAACTTTTCCCCAACAGTGTGATAGGGAATAGAAGCCAGTGCTCTTTCCCTGGAAGAAAGTGTGTCAGAGGGAACACCTTCAGTTTCCCTCTAGTGCACCTCTAAACCCATCTATCTTGTGCCGTTTTCAAGTGTCCTCTTCTAAGTGTGCTTCCTCCACCCGTGCAGTAGTCCTACCATTGTTCCGTATTTTTAGTTTCCTTCTCCTATTGGAATATTTGCATTTTTATTATACCATTGTCACATCACTCTTAAGTTCCGCTTACCTGTCACCCTCCCTGAGATATCCTGGTGTCTCTCTCTTCCTCTTCAAAGCTGATCCCACCTACTTTGCCAGAGCCTATTTGCACCTTAAAAGACTTGCATCTGGTGACTCAACTTTGAGGGATCCCTGGGGGCTAATATCAAAGCTAGCCCAAACTGTGAGCCTCAGATGCCCTCAGTGCCATTTGGTAAACCCAAAACAACTGCAACAAATAGAAACCACTCATTACGTGGGACTATACCTAAAAAAACATTGAGAAATAGACTTTACAAAAATGGGAAAGCCTGGACTTCAAAAAAAAAAAAACAAAAAAAAAAAACAGGTACTTATTAGTAATGATAGATATTTTTTACTAGATGGGTTAAAGCATTGCCTACTAAGTCTGAGTCAGCCCTGATAGTTCCCTGATTTGGCCTCCCTTTATCCGTGGGGTCCGACAATGGCCCGGCTTTTATAGCCCAGATAACTCAAAAACTAACCTTAGCTTTGCAGATCAATTGGAAACTCCATTGTGCTTATCGGCCTCAAAGTTCAGGACAAGAAAAAAAGATAAGTCAGATTTTAAAGACAATAATTACTAATGGCCTTAAACACTAGCAAGAACTGGGTGCATCTCCTTCCTTTTGCTCTTTTGTATGTGTGATATACCCTCTATGTTCCAGGTATTTTCCCTTTCAAGGCTTTGTATGGGAGACCACTTCCTCTTATCCTTAAGGTTTCTAAAAAAAAAGAATTAGCTGATTTAGCTAATCAAGATCTTATTAAGTACCCCCCAGACTTTTCAGCCAGTTCTGACCTCCATCCACTGGTTATTTCAATGAGGACAAACGCCCTGCTGTAGAGCCTGAGACACCACCGGTCCTTATCAAGCAACATCACTGTGAATCTCTTGAGCTGTGATGGTAGCCAAAAAGCCTGCCTGGATTCATCATTCCCACTTCAAAAAAGTCCCAGTTTCCAAAGGCAATCAACCTATGGATAAGTGGACTGTCGTTCCCTCCAAGGAGTCTTTCAAGCTTAAGATGGCCAAATGTAACTGATAATCTTGTGTTCTCCCTTATAGAGACCCCAAAGAGGCCTCTGTCTGAGTTAAAAAAAAAAAAAATTGTTACTTGTATGACTGAACAGAGTAAATTTAAATGTTGGTTTTCTTTCTCCTTTTGGTTAACAGCTTTAATAATGACAGCTGCAAGACCTTTGTTGATTCTCCTATTGGGCTTTGTATTGTAAACAAGCTGATAAACTGTCAAAGATCTTAAAAGCTTATGATTTTAAAGGCACACGCAAGGTTATAAACAGATACCAATGAGTCAATAATTTGACTCACTGACAAAATCAGTGGGGAACGTTGTACACTAGCAAAAAGAGCTTCGTTATATTTGTATTATATCAAAATACCTGTAATGTTACCCTAACTGTTCTGTTAATGTTTTTCTTCTCCTTTCTCCCTCTGGGTGACCTAATATGTTAACCATTGCTGCCCTCTCTAAATAACAGATGTGGTGCTAAAATAAGATAACAAAAGGTTGTTAATTGCTGCTAGACTCCTCTGTTCTCTGCTGAGGAAAACAAAGATCTTCATTAGCCGATTTCCAGATCCACACCCATACCCCTTACTTTGTAAACAGTGATACATATATAAAGGCTGCAAGTATGGGGGAGCCACACACCCAGCTTTTGCAATCTCCAACTGTACTGGGCCCAGGATAAAATAAATCAGCACTGTTTTTTAAAATATGTTTTTGCCTCATTTTTTGAACTCGAGTTTGGGAACTCGTTTGTGGATTACAAGAATTTCCACCTTAAAATATTCTCTTCCTTTAGCTCTTTTTGGTATAGAAGAATGAAACTCCCAGCCTACTATGTCCGTTACGAGTTCATGCTCTCTAAAATTGAAGAATGAATTTTAGAAACCATGGAGGTCAAAAGCAGAATATATTTATTGAGAGAAAGAAAGCTTCTGTCTGAGAGAGAGAGAAGGGGTCCTGAATGGGTTGCCAAAGACTCTGTCTTTTCCAAGGACTTTAATAGAGCAAAATTATGGGGTGAGATAAGTTCAAGGTGGGGAGAGCTGGGAACTCACAATGCAGATGGGCATAAGGTGGGACAGAACTATGGTTAGCCAATAAGATTAATAGTCCAGGTAAAATTGATTACATTAGGGACAAATGGGGAAGCGAGTCACATAGAAAGCAGGCATTCTTACAGCAGTGACTTTCTCAGAGGGGTTGGGAGCGTGACTCCTGACTTCCTCAGGATTTTAGGGAGCTATTTAGAATGTCAGTCCTAAGGGTATGGATGCCTTTGCTTGATCCTTTGTCTTGAGGCCTGGCCCACAGCAGGAGGTGTCTATCTCCCTTGCTTGTTGCAAGGCATCTGGGCTTCTGCACTGGCTCCTTGGAGGACCCAGCCCTGTCTCACTGCCTGTAGTATTTTTAACTAACTCAGCTGCCTGCCACATTTTGGGAACCATATTTTCTTGGTAGTTTCTCTTTTTGTGGTTTTTCTTTCTCAATCTTGTTTACAAGCCATCCATTTCTATTTGCTCATTAAATACCAGAATATCTCAAGAATGATTCCTGCCCTTATTCTTTCTATCTCTACACACTCTCTCCCTGGGATGTCCTGTAACTCTGAGTGTCCTATATGTGGTCTGCATGATTAATTCTCAGCCTAGACTTTTTCTTTGGGTTCCCCAATGTCACCAAGATAACCCCACATAAGCGTTCCTAAGCCAGATTGTGCCCCATTGCCAACTAACTTCCTTCATGTTTCTGGTTTCTGCAAAATGACCCGGCACCTTTCTAATCCCCTAAGCCAAAAGTGTTGATATTTATTCTTGAATCTCTTCCTAACATAATCCATCACCAAGATGCATAAGATCCTGTGCTGCCTGGCTGGGTGTCTACAATCAGATTTTTATCATGGTCTCAGGATAAAAACCTGATTGCAGATGTTTCTCCCCCACTTCAAACTGTATGTGGATCTCCACTGTGTTTAAAGAAGGGCACAATCCTAATAGCCTTCCATTCCTGTGCAATCACTGTACCTCCACTTCTCACCTCTCCACACCTCAAGTCATACCAACTTCTTTCAGTTCCTGCAGGGGCTCCACTGCCTCTGGCCATGGAGCTTTGGGCAAATTGCTTTTAAATGCACAGAATGCTTTCACCTCCCCTTCCTTCCCAACTCGCCATGATGGTTTCTTTTAATAACATTCATATGAAAAAAAAAAAACATTCATATGAGTGTATTTCCATTCTTTGGAGATCTTGTATACTTTCCTAGGGACATATTCATTTTTTAAAAATTTCATTATTATGAGGTGTGATTGGAATATGCAGTGAATGTTTAGATTTTGGAAATCACTAAAGTAAAAAACACATTGCTGTAAGTCCCCCTCAGTGCTTTGGACAAGGACCTTGTCATTTTTGTCACTTTCTGAAGCAGTTCTGGAGCCTCCTTTTGTGACTGTCTTTAAGAGGTGCAATAAAAACATATGGGAGTTGCTGTTGCTGCAGGCTTCTAACAACATTACAGAGTCCTCACCCACCTTCCTCACTGGACCCAGCACTGTGCGACATTGGGCTTTTCCCAAATTAAAAATGACCGTGCAACAGAAATGTCTTGAATCGATTCAGGGCATTGTGGAAGCTGCAACAGCACAAGTAAAGATGCTCATGGAAGAGGACTTAGAGAACCTGTTCGTAAAGTGGCAAGGATGACAGGATAAATGTGAAGTGAAGGGGGCGTCCTGAATATTTTGTCTTTAGTTTAAATAAATTATTTTCAACTTTAAGCATCAAACATATTTTTTGGTCACGCCTTATTACTATTGTTTCAGGCAGGTGAGATAGAAATATTACAGGCAGTGAGACAGGGCTGGGTCCTCCAAGGAGAGCTAGTGCAGAAGCCCAGGTACCTTGCAGCTGTGGGAGAGATAGACACTCCCTGCTGTGGGCCAGACCTCAAGACAAAAGATCAAACAAACACACCAGGTAACCTAAGGACTGGTATTCTAAATAGCTCCCTATCACCCTGAAGAAGTCAGGAGTCATCATGCTAACCCACTCTGGGAACAGTCACTGCTCTCTAAGAATGCCCACTTTCTAAGTGACTGGCTTCCCCCATTTGTCCCTGATTTAATCAATTTTACCTGACAATTAATCTTATTGGCTAACCGTAGTTCTGTCCCACCATCACCCTTCTGCCTTGTGTGTTCCCAGTTTTCCCCACCTTGAACCTATTACACCCCATGATTTTACTCTACAAAAGTCCCTAGAAAAGACAGTGTTTGGCAACCCACTGGTGACCCCTTCTGTTTCTCTCCCAGACAGAAGCTTTCTCTCTCTCAATAAACATATTCTGCTCTTAACCTTCATTGTTCCTAAAATTCATTCTCTGATTTTAGAAAACACAAACTTGAACCAGACATAGTAGTTCAGGATTTTCATTCCCCTATGTCATATCTCCTCTCTGCAGCTGATTTAATGACAAATTTCTGTATCCCCAGTGTCTGGCAGAGCTGGACTCATAGAGTATGTATACAATAAATATTTTTGAAAAGAATGAATACTTGCATGGGTCCCAAAAACATTCTTTGAGGCCCTGTCATTGCTTCACCTGGAACTGAGGGCTTTCTGCTTTTTCTCCATATCCATTTGGTCTGCTGACTGCTCCCCACTTACTTGTGAAGACTCATCTGAGATTCCCTATGAGAAGTGCTCCCTCATCTTCTTCCCCCGAGAGAGTTGTATGCTCTCATTTTTGTGGTGTTTTCATGTAGGGAGCTGCACGACAGCCCCATTGCTGCCTCCCTGCCTCTCTCTCTCTCCTATGGGCACAATGCATCTGCCTACATAACCATAATCTTCTCCTGCTTACATCACATACCCGGACGTGACAATGACCCTGTTGTATTCATCCCCGTAGCCTCTTCCTGTCCCACCAGCCCGCCCTTGGCCTATAAAAGATGTGATCACTTCTGTAATAAACAGGGCTTGATTGGACTCTCTCTACTTGCCTCAGTCTCTCTCTGTCTCCCCCATGTGTTTATTTAATCCCCATTCCCCCTCCATGTACACCCCACAGATTGATCCACGGGCTGGATCATTTTCATACTTGTATTCTCTGTGTGCTTCTACTTTACCATTTCTTACAATGTTGCAGAGATTTTTATTTCTACGTCTATTTTTCTGTATCATCAAATACCTAAGGACCAAGAACATATCTTAGAATCATGCCTGAAAAGTGTTACAGACTTGCTGGAACTCAGACAGTGGGACCACAGAAGACCCAGAAGCTGACTTCCTCTCTGACCCTCTGCTGCCTGCTGTTGTTCACCCCTGATTGTCCCTTGAGGAGCCATAAAAGCTAACTTCCTCCTCCTAAGCCAGGTTACAGAAACCACAACTCTTTGTCCCAGAGTCAGCCAAAAACAAAAACAAAAAAACCCTGAAAAAATATACTTTTGACTGTTTTTCTACATTTTTGTGTAACAACTTTCCATTAAAGGATTCTCTGGCTAGTGGTTCTAATAGTTTGTGCATATACCCTCCCATTCCAGAAAGGTCTGTTTGATTCAGTTTTCTTGTTGCTAGGACCAAAACTCAAAACTTAGAGAAGGAGAGGTTTACTTTTGATTTGCAGTTTCCAGTGTGTTTGGTCCATGTTCAGTTGGCTGCAAGGAAGAACAGGTACAGTGGAGGCTATAGTGAAGAAACCATTCAACCCATGGCTGGAAGCCAGAGAGAAAGGAGGCACTGGGATAATAACACACTCTTCCAGGTCACACCAGAGTCACCCACCTTTAACCATATCCCATGTCCTAGCCTCACTCAGCTACTGAACACATTAGTGGGCAAATCTCCTGATGAATATAGCACTCCAGAGCCCCAGTCACCTTCCAAACACATGAGACTTTTGGTCTCATGAACTAGTCTGAACCATGTCATGCAAAAGGTATTCATTCCATCTCTGAGCATCATCCCTGTCTCAGGAGCTCTAGTACTACTGAAAAGTCAAAGACAAAACTCTCCTCTGAGACTCAAGGCAAGCTCTTACCTGTAATCTCCTGTAGACATCTAAAGGTAAGTTAAATACTTCCAAAAGAAAATGGCATAGGTTAACATTCCCATTCCAAAAGGAAGAAATAGGAGAATGAAAAAGAATGGGACCAAAGCAAGCCCCAAATCCAGTAGGGTGAACATTAAATCTTCAGCTCTGTGTCTAGTAGTCAGGGCAGGTTGTGGTGAGACATAGACTTCAAAGGGCTTGCTCAGCCCTATTTCTGTGGTCTGGCCAGTTGCAGCTCACAAGGATTCTCTCTTGAGTTGGTGCTACTCATCTCCTGTAGCTTTCCTCAGCGGACATCCCACTCTTGTAATCCACAAATGAGCCCCTCAGGGCCCCCAACCTCGAGTCCAAAAATGGGGCAAGACATGTTTTTTAAAAAGCAACGCTGATTTATTTTATTCTGGGCCCAGCGACACAGTGCAGTTGGAGTTTGCAAAAGCTGTGCGTCTCCCTCAAAATTTTTTAGACTTTTTGTAGAAAGCACAGTTTACAAAGTAAGGGGTTATTGGTGTGGATCAGGAAATCTACTAAGTAGTGAGGAAGACATTTGTTTTCCTTTGCAGTGGACAAAGAAGTCTAGCAGGAATTAACAATCCTGTGTCAACTTATTTTAGCACCCAATTTTAGATAACATCTGTTATTTGTAGAGGGCAGCAATGGTT